TCGTTAAAACCAAGTGAAACCCATGTTCACAGGCTGCTGGAAGTAAGGCACCTTTTAAACCAACATCCTTATGCATTCCTTCCTCTGTAAGCTTTGGTAGGAAAACAAGGAGGACAAGTAAGAGGCGCCTCACCTAGGATGGAAGGAGTCAGCTACAAGAAAACCTTGGAGCCCCAAAAAGCTCTACCCCAGAATGCTTGGATTAAGGAATTTTCACCAAATAGGATTGAATCGAAGGAAGTGAAGAGACATAGAGGAGAAGACTTGGTAAAATTTAGGGAAAGCCGGCAAGGGTTCCTAGGCCAGAAGAGGTTCCCAACGTCTATAAAAGGAGGCACCTCCTACCCAGCAAAACAACCATCCAGAGCATGACCAAGCAATCGTCAAGCTACTGGAATATCTACTCAAGCTACCCATCCTTTTATCCCACTCTCTCCTTTTCTTCCCTCATCAAATCTTCCCAAATTTCCCTCTCCCATTGCTCTGAACCTCTATTTCCCATAAGAAATCCAAGCTTTCTCTCTCTATTGCTAAACTCATGGAGGCTTAGCTCCCATGCCACAAGCTCCTTAGGCCAAGCCATAATATTGATCTATAACAGTTGTCTGTCTTGTTGGTGAAAGGAACCAAAGTGCTTCCTGAGGCTGCAGGAACTTTTTGAAGCACTCTTGGGTCCTGATTCTTGAACTTGGGCACATGAGCCCAGGCCCATTTGTAGCTACTGGAACGAAAAAGCCCCTACATAAATCGGCGACTCTACTGGGGAATTTAGCTCGTGCTGTCTTTGGGGCACGGGCCATCCATAGCATGAAGTCGTTACTTGGTTTTGATGAGGTAAAAGCTGCAGCTGATACTTTGAACCTTAAGCAACGAGAATTGGAGGATTAGCGTCGTGAACTGCATGCCCTTCTTTTTGCCAAAGGAGATTCTGCCGATGGCGCGAAATGTGTGGTGGAGGCAGCAGCTAGGTCGTCTCATAAGGCTTATTCTGTTCTCTTCAGGCATATTCCGTAATTTTGACGTTCGTAAGTTTTCATCCTTTCTTTGCTTCCTCAGTTTTTTTTTTATTTTTTAAACAGGATATATCTTCTAGCACCATCTCATCTTGACACCTATCCTTATTCTATCTTGTAGATTGTCTTTCTTCAGCTCAGGGACCAACCGGCTTGGCGCATAGTTTTTTTTTTCAATTTTTTTTTGAAACCATAGGGTGCATTGATCTTTGACATGTACAACTTCGTTTTGCTTGGGCTGTATTTCTTTTGGATACCCCAAAACTTATGTTATCATGGCCTTGTAATGTGGTACTGTTATGTTTGAACTGCTGGAACTTGGATTAATTTCTGGAATGCTTGAGACATGTTGTAATCATGCTTGTCTTATATATTTTGCTTGGTTGGTGGAATTTATTCTCATGAACTACTTGAAACTTTGACAGGTTGGGTAGTCTTAAAACAAGGCAAATGCTGCCAAAATTTTGACAGGATCTTTAAACAAAAGCTCTGATGCATTGCTTTAACATTTTTTGCAAGGCTTTCTTAGTTGTTTGATCCAAAATACGCCTTCTTATCATGCTTTAGAGAAGCCAGATCAATATGTGCATGATTTTGAAAAGGTTCTTGTAAATCCATAAATGCCGTGAAGTTTTGGGCATCCTGATCACCTTAGCTATTAATGGGAGCCAATGGTTTCGTTGTTCCAGCACCTCAATATACATATTAGGTCCACACGATGCAAGTAACTAGCATGATTCTTCCTAATAGCTTGGCTTCGCCCTTTGTTTTTTTTATAAAAATATTTTATTTTACTTTAAAAAGCATATGATTTTCCTCATGCATGGTGTTTGTTAACAACTTGGGATCCCATCTAAGTGGTTTTGCTTGGTATACTTACTGCTAAGCGATGTTTTTCATCTCTTGTTTTTTTTTTTTGAAAATTTGCTTACAATTTTTTTTTCTTATACATATGCACATATATACTCTTTTTTTTTGTTTTCAAAGCAAAGGAAGTTCGAAATAAATAAAGTAGAAAGCTTTAGGGACTGAATTTTTTTTTTTTTTTTTCGAAATACTCCTTCATTTCCATTACAAAGTTCATTTTACACCTTGGCAGCTACCATGATGGTGCTTTTTATAAAAGTTTTCCAAAAGCATAAGGTAAGAATATAGAAGGAGTTCATATCTGAAATGGAAAGAAAAGTAATAACAAAAGGATAGAATACAAAGTTAATTTAGCAGTAGTAAGGCTTGAGCCACTTCCCATTGATGGGATCCATTAGTGCGTCTTCCTTGATAGAGACCAAGCGGTAGTAGCCACTGTTGTAAGCTTCTTCGAACGCAAACGGGCCTTCCCATTGCGGGGCAAATTTGGAGGGGCCCTATCTGCCTTCTCAGGTGTTCAGCAACTCTTAGCATGAGGTCTCCCTGCTTGAAGTTCGAGACTGGACTGTCTTGTTATAATCTTGGGCAACAGCTTTGTGGTAAAATGTCGTCTTCTTTTCGGCTTCTGCTCTTTTTTCTTCCAAGGCTTCAAGGTCCATCCAGCGCCAGCTTGAGCATGATTTTGCATCCCATTCAAGGTCATTTACGGTTGATACTCTGGCAGTGGGGATGGTGATCTTGACAGTTGAGATGGCATTGGACATGTACACGAGTGAGTAAGGAGAGAAACCTGTGGCTCTTCTTGGAGAGGTGCGGGAAGCCCACCAAGCATCAGAGAGGTGAATACTCCAACCCCTTTCATACTTGTATACCATCTTGCTTAGAATTCTCAGTTAAGTTTTGTTTGTGGCTTCAGCTTGACCATTTCCTTGTGGGTAGTAAGGTGTGGAGTGACGATGCTTGATACTGTAACCATTGAGTGTTGAGCTCACTTGCTTGTTAACAAAAGGCGTGCCACTGTCGGTGATGATTTTGTATGGGATTCCAAACCTGCACACGATGTATTCAAGGATGAAATTTGAGACGGCGGCCCTCGTGGCTTTTCAGAAGGGAATTGCTTCGACCCACTTCGTAAAGTACTCAGTGGCAGTAAGGATCCATATGTAGCTGTTGGAAGGTGGATGGATAGTTCCAATTAAGTCAAGCCCCCAAGTATGAAAAGGCCAAGGAGTGCACATGTCCGGTAACAATGTGGGAAGCTTCTGGTTTAGGTTGGCATGGATTTGGCATGCGTGGCACTTCTTCACAAAGTTGTGCGCGTCATTCTTCATTGTAGGCCAGTAGTACCCAAAACTTAGCAACTGCTAGTAAAGCTTCTTCATTCCCTGGTGCTCACCACATTCTCCAGCATATGTTTCTTGCAAGACTTGGTATGCCTCTGCTCCTCCTAAACATTATAATGGCTCACCATTGAATCCTTTATGGTAGAGAGCTGATCCGTCTATGAAGTACCTCTTTGATGTATTTTTAAGCGTGTGAGAATGTTTTGAGTTGGTTGGTAGGGTTGATTGGTTCATAATTGTATATCATTTTGTACCCTTCTAGCTTATGATTTGGTTATGTTATTGAGTTAAACTTGTGCTTTTAATCCATTTTCTGTTTTGATAAGTCCATAATTTCATACACTTGCTTGCCTTCTTTACTTAGTGATTTTGCTTAGTTTCTCTTTATTTTGAGTCACTTACCTCTGTTTGTGTGTTTTGTAGGTTAAGATAGCAAGAGATAACATTTGATGCAATCCATGCATGTTAAGGGCTGATTGGCATATGAGGAATATGAGCTTAAAGACAAACACATTTTGGCTACAACCCCTTTCCAGCCCAATTTCGTAGGTCAACTTCTTGGCCTTGGATCAGCATGCTATGGGGCTCGAATGAGGTGAAGATCTTCATGAAACTTGTTCCAATGGGTGTCTACTACAACATATCCAAATTTCAGCCCAATTGGACATTTGTGGAGTGCTCAGCCCGTCCAACACCCAACCCTGCTCAGGAGGATTTGCAGCTGCCAGCTTTGAGCCTTGTCTCCTCCCTTAAGCCATGTGCCTCACCCATGCTGCAACTGACTTTGGATCCAACATAATGAGTGAAGTGGGGAAGCATTCTAGCTATGAAATTCTAAAGGAGCAAGTTGGTACATGCTGGAGTTATTATAGAGACTGCACACGATGTATTCAAGGATGAAATTTGAGACGGCGGCCCTCTTGGATTTTCAGAAGGGAATTGCTTCGACCCACTTCGTAAAGTACTCAGTGGCAGTAAGGATCCATATGTAGCTGTTGGAAGGTGGATGGATAGTTCCAATTAAGTCAAGCCCCCAAGTATGAAAAGGCCAAGGAGTGCACATGTCCGGTAACAATGTGGGAAGCTTCTGGTTTAGGTTGGCATGGATTTGGCATGCGTGGCACTTCTTCACAAAGTTGTGCGCGTCATTCTTCATTGTAGGCCAGTAGTACCCAAAACTTAGCAACTGCTAGTAAAGCTTCTTCATTCCCTGGTGCTCACCACATTCTCCAGCATATGTTTCTTGCAAGACTTGGTATGCCTCTGCTCCTCCTAAACATTATAATGGCTCACCATTGAATCCTTTATGGTAGAGAGCTGATCCGTCTATGAAGTACCTCTTTGATGTATTTTTAAGCGTGTGAGAATGTTTTGAGTTGGTTGGTAGGGTTGATTGGTTCATAATTGTATATCATTTTGTACCCTTCTAGCTTATGATTTGGTTATGTTATTGAGTTAAACTTGTGCTTTTAATCCTTTTTCTGTATCGTAGAACACTTGGGTTAATTAGACTGAACTTCGGCTGCTTATTTCTTCATTTCTGGCCAATAATAACTTTTGCGCTGCAGGCGTCGATACAAGCTAATCTCTGGCTCCAAACTACAAGTGGCATCGTGTATTTCCTGCAGCCTCTTTTATGGCTCTGTTATTCCTATGCAACGGGTCAAAACACCTCATGGGAGATGTTTGTAGAGTAGATTTCCCCAAAAATGATTACATAGTCCTTCAAGTCTCTGATGTCACCTTCTTCATATAGCTTCTTCTTCACAAGCTTTCTCTAATCACTTTCTTCCAGTGGCTCCTCTTGAGGCATTGCTTCGACTGCTGTCATGTCCTTCTTTATCACTGTAATATTGGGTTGCTCATTGACAAATGAGAGCTTTGATCCCAACGTAGCTAAAGCATCAGCATATCTGTTGGTGACCCCTGGGATGTGTTCCATCACAACTTTCTTGAAAGAATTGACAAGCCTTTCAGTTGCTGTACGATACGGGGCCAATGTTGCCTCTTTCACAGTGAAGTTCCCTTGCAACTGACTTAGCACCAAGTTTGAATTGCCAATGACTTTAATCTTCTCTATGCCCATCTCCTTTGTCGTAAACAATCCCATAACAAAAGCTTTGTACTCAGCCACATTATTTGTGCATGGGAAATTCAACTTGAATGAAAGGGTCGTGGCCTGTCCCTCAGGACTAATGAGTACCACACCTGCTTCTTCACCGTTCGATGTAGAAGAATTGTCAAAGTAGAGAGTCCATGGTTCCCCCTCTATAGCAGTGGCAACTATTTCCGACATCTCCCCTAGAACTTCTTTGGAAAGAGTGGATTCTTCAACTTCAGGAAATAGAGCCAACATATCAATCACAACTTGTCCCTTGATGGCTCTAGGAGTTGTGCATGTGATATCAAACTCAGATAGTTGCAACAACCAACGTGCAAGGCATCCCGACAACACAAGTCTTGTGAGCAAATACCTTACGGGGTCGCACTTCAATATGGGCTACAACTTGTGAGCAAGGAAGTAATGTCGTAGTCGCTGCGCAGCATAAATAAGGGCAACACATAAGAACTCGATCTTCGGATATCGCGTTTCGGCTCCCTGATATGTTCATAATTGTATATCATTTTGTACCCTTCTAGCTTATGATTTCGTTATGTTTTTTTAGTTAAGCTTGTGCTTTTAATCTCTTTTGTGTTTATCATTCAGTTCATTAAGGTTTAGGTAGCAATGGTGGCTTTGGATAGGAAAAGGTGCAAAATGGTGCAAAAACATGCAAACTGAGTTACAAATTTGTTTCGGCTGAATTGCTTAAGGGAAGCCCAATCCGTGAGCCCATGAAGTTGCTAGTCATGCTGACCTAAGGATGAGCTTATTGTTGCTTGGTCATGATGAGCTATGCATAAGCTATAATTTCTGGTGGGATTTGATGGTGAAGTGCAACAACCAAATAAGAAAAGAAATTGATTTTGTATTGCATTGGTGTGTTAGGTAAGGTTGGTGAAGTGGGTATTGTAGGTGAAAGTCATACTCAATTCAGATTTCTTACTTCCTTCTCCCAATAAATACTATTTCCATTCCACACCAAAAGAACACACATCCTGGGATTCATAATCCCACAAATCATTCCATCCATCCTCCATACTCTCATCTAGGGGTGGGCGCGGTTCGGTTCGGTCCGGTTCTCACCTCAAGCTGGAATTGGAATCGGTATTATTTAACCAGTCCGATTTGGTTCGGTTTAGGCAAAAAAAAATTCAAAAACCGATCGGTTCCGGTTTTGAACCGGATTATTAATTTATTAAAAAAAAATTTCCAAAAAAAAAAAGTTCTAATTTTTTTAATTAAAAAATTATAATAAATAACTTATTTTTTTGGCTTAAATTTTAACAAATAATCCAATTCACACATTTAGAAATTTTTTGAAGTTGAACTTGGAAAAATAGTGATTATAACATTTAAAATATGGCTTTAGATTTTAAAAATTTGTAAAAAAATAAAATAAAATATATGGCTGGTCTGGTTCGGTCTGGTCCGGTGCGGTGTGGTGTAAAATTGAAATCAAAACCGATTGGAACCGGTTCGGTCCAGTTTCGGTCTTATTTGTTGACTTTTTTGGTCAACTAGTTTTTTTTCCGATTTTTTTTCACCGGTTCGGTTTGGTGTTCTGGTTTTCCAGTCCCGATGCCCACCCCTACTCCCACTCCATCCTCCACACTCCCATCGTTTCCCAAACCCATTCATAAATCACCCTCAAACACTCTCACAACCCCAAACACTCTAGCAATCAACCCAAAGCTCTAAACTGCCCTAAATCACCAAAACTGTCCCAACAAGCCTCTCTTCCATTTCCCTATGAATTTCCTCTTTCTCAGTCATCACCACTCACCCAAACTCATCCCAAATCACCTCCTTAATCTTCATACATCCTTCTAGATGTGGGGAAGCTCTTGGAGAAGTATTAGACGTGGAGAAGCTCTTGGAGAAGCATTGGACACCACAAGAACTTCATAAAAGGGTTTTTCTACTCTTATTGCGTTCATTATGTTTTCTCATTTTTGCTTATGTTTCTTTCCCATTATGAGTAGCTAAATCCATAACTAGGGCTTCGATGTAATCGAACATGAATATTCTGGGTTTATAAATTTCAAGATTCAAGTTTGGTTCTTGATTCATGTTCTTATTCATTATGCCTACTTGCCTATATGGTAATCGGAATGCCTAGCTACCATTCAGATTTGTGTATCTTGGTTGGAATTAAGAGTAGACATCATATGCCTTAATTCTAATTGAACTATGAATCTTGGTTGTTTAAAACGTTCTTCTATGCTTAATGGATTTCTAATGCTTAGTTTAGGTTCGATAACAGGGATTTAATTAGGGAATTAGGAATACAAGGTTAGGACCAGACCAATCTTTGAATATGAATTAGACTTGTCACTTGAATCCTTATAACCTAGAATTGAATTGTTATGGTGAATCAAATGCCCTAGTCTCCAAATCTGTTTTTCAACCTTCAAAACCACCATTTGTTGCATTTGCTTACTTTGCTTTTGTTTGCAATTTCATTTTGCTTCATTTGTTTTGACAATCACAATCACTCTCACTTTAAATTCTGTTTTAGACTTAACTTCCTACTTTCTTGAATTCGGTAATCTAAGTACATAACTAAGATTAACTTCTCAGTCCTCGTGGGTATGTGTGAGACCCTGTATATATATATATATATATATATATATATATATAATATTTATTTATTTATATGTATT